GCCCAGGGCAAAAGAGATTACAATTCATAAAATTTCTGTTAATGCAAAAGTTGTAATTCCAAAGCTACTTTAAATACAGTACAGGGTTAACTCATTCAATTACTATTTGAAATAAGTTAGAGAAGCCTCCAGCAATTCAGCTGTGCAAAATGCTCAGAAAAGCAATTGGTACACATGCAGGTACACTCCAACTTTTCCGTCCTCCTCTAGCAGCCACACAGTGGTACCACTCGCCACATCGCTGTTAAAAATACTACCTGTGCCTTCCCAGTCAAAGACAACACAAACACCACAGCTCCCCCCAGGAGCGGAGGCAAACCTCAGCACCCAGAATGCTCCCCACAACACCACCAAGAGCTCCCACCAGAACCAGGGTTTTCTAAAATACAGAATATTACAAGGAAAATGAAAAAAAAACCCAAAAAAACCCAAAATAAACTCAGAACCACACAACACGAATACACACGCCCCCAAAACACAACCCACCAAACTTACTCAAAAAAAAACAAACCAACAATCCCATGGCCTCTGAGCTGCTTTTTTTCACCACAGGTAGCATTTTGCACAGTCTAAGCATGATCATTGGATTGCAGTCAACCCAGGACGTGGTTTACTTTATTTGTATACAGGGGCATACGCATTCACTTCATCTTCTTTTAAACTGAATACCGAGCCCTAGGCAGCAAACCGTAAACTGGTTATCAACCACTTTATTTTGGATGTGAGATTATAACGTTTATCACTACTAGAGTGATGCCATCAGGATTGGAAATGTTCTCAGAGTAGACCCAAAAGCTCCTGTTGGAGTATCTGGAGACTGGAAAGAGAACTAGTGGGAAAAATAATTACTCCAAATTAGCATTAGTGGGTATAAACAAGGAAACTGTTATTTTCCATGCACATTTTTGTTAGTTCATACAGTCTCCTAGAAAATTGCAGAGGGGCAGCTGTGAAGCACACAATCCGTGTTAAGTTCTTAAGGGTTTGTAGAATAGGCTTAAGACAAGCAAAAAAAGCCCCTCTTGTACCACTGTGCTTTAGTTTATTTTCACATTTTTATAGGCTAGTATCATTAATCTTGGTCAAATATTCTCAATGAATCAATTTTAGCCTATGAAATTTTCTGCTAAAGATTCACTTTAAAAGTAAGCAGTAGAACGAAGAGAGAAAAATCAGACTTGTTTAAAAATTCAGCCAATCCTACAAAAATCTTCCTAAAATACAAATGGCTGGAGAAAATTTACATTTCACAAGGTTAATTATAATGTGCTGGTTAGAACATAAGGTCTGTAACCTTCTCTAAATATTCTGTTTTCTCCTCTTAGTTAGCAAATTAGCCCTTTCTGTAACTACACAGACATATTCTACTTTATTATATAATATGTAATAATTCGGTTAGTTTAAGATTAGGAAATTTTTTTGCTTGATGTCATAATCTGTGTTATGAATTGTTCTGGTTTTTTAATTATCTTAGGTACTTTTCAGCAACGCAACATTTTTTAAACAGCTGTGTTAACTTGAGTAATGATAATGAAGCTAAAACAACTTTACTGATGTAATTCATAACTTCCTCTTTGTAAAACATAATTTTACCATCTTGGTGGCAAGCAGACAACTCTCAATTCAAATTAAAGGGTATCACTAGTGGAAACATTCCACCAATGTTTTGCCCACTGATAAAAAAAAGTGCTATTGCACTAAGTGGCCTTAAAACTGCTTATCATTAAAGGCAAAGATTGTGAAATTAAAATACTGAAGGATCTGTGGGCTGTGCTGCTTGTTGTTGTTTGGGTTTTTTTTTCCCTAAAGGAACAGCAGAGCTTTGGGATTTGCAGTAAGATCAAACCCTGTAAAGAAATATATGCATATTCAGCTTTTTTCAACACAAGCAGTGCAATTAAATACTTATAAATATATATGTATCTACACAGCTTCGAGGTAACTCACATAGAACACACAAATTACTTTGGCAGCTGATTATTGATGGTATTAAAAACATCTATGAGATAATTTAGTAAATTTTTGTTTGTTTTTGTAACTTTGCCTTCACTATTCTTTTCATCATTTTGTACATACTGATCACAATCATTCTATTTTCCCCTGTAATTTTTCCAAATGGAAGCTTTTATATGACTAACATTCTTGCCGCTCTTTTTTTCTTTTTAAACCATCCTTTAACTCCAGTATGATCCTATAAAAAGGCATGCAAAAAGCACTAAGCATGCTCTAAGCAAGTTATAATATTATGCAATACAGCATAACAGTTTCTTTCCATTTCTTTATTCAAATGATCATTCTGATTAACAAAAACCCCACTGTTACACACTGGATGTTCCATTAAAACTTCTATTCAGAAGTTCAGGTCATTTTACTGAGTGTTTTATTTTAAATACAATAATGAACATTAATTGTTCACACTGCTCCCTCTTGTAAACCTTACTTTGCATTTGCTAACATTGACTGTAATTTGCTATCCCATGGCCTATGCACTGATGACATGCTAATCACTGTCTAATGCCTAGGACTCCTCATATATGAGGACCTTTCATATTTGGTACTATAATCAGGACAACAAATCTTTTGATAGATCGTGGTATAACAGAGACAAAGACAGAAGGAAAACATACAGAAACAATTGCATAGGCAGTGGTCATACTAAATTAACCACTGACTTGTCGTAGACATCAGGAAAAGCATAATAAAGCAGTCATTCAGTCAGTGCTGACAAGAGTGTTTGCTGAATGGATGAATAGTGAACCCTCTTTCTTATGTGTTACTCAAAATTCAATTGTAGCCTGAATTGTTAAGACCTAAAGAGGACTGAAACAAAGACGACAACCTAGAGCACAGGCCCAGAGGAAAAGCAGATGATGAAGCTGTCCACAGTAACTTAAAACAGGAACAGCAACAAGGTCCAAGGAAACAATTTCAGCAGCGGAATTGCAGTCAGGCTCAGCCAGCGATATGTGATGGAATGGCACAGGCTGGCATTCAGTAAAACTAGAGCTTTGGAAAGTAGGAGGCACAAACCAAGTGAAGTCTGGCAGATAACCAGCGAGGTTTCCCAATGCAATACACTGCTAATAGTGGCATTCAGCTACTGTGATAATGGAAGAAAAGCCAGGCAGAAGAGGTGTGGTAGGAGGTACAATGGCAGGGTAGAAATCACAGAAAAGCTCACAACTGGGACAGGAATAGGGAGGCTGACACCAGGTCTGCAGGGGAACTGGCAGCAGCAAACTCACCGGGCAGGACTTGCTTAAGATCCAAATAAGCATACAGTCCCTCTGGTGAGTAGGAGACTTAAGAAGTCAGACAGGTCACCGACACAGAAATTGAAATTACTAGTGTTGAGTGCCAACAAGTACAAACAGAGGGGAAGGGGCAGAGGGGAGAACAGCAGAAATGCATCTTTCACAGAACTACCTGCTAGGGCTTTACTAGTATTCTTTTTCTACTTAGTAGTTTTACATGTATTTTTTCCTGTTTTATTTAATCAGAAATGAACTTTGTTTTCTTGGCAATGAAAAATATTTTTTTGTTGTTGTTTGGCCTCAAAATAGACTATGTTTTTAAATTCTTTTGTCAAGGATCTGCAGGTGAATTCTAGAAAAAAGTCATCTCATGATGAAATAGTAGAATAATAATTTTAAGTAATGCTGATATATAATTATCTTCTTCCTAATTTTTTGCAAATTTGGATTACATTAGCAAATAGCTCGGGTTAGCCTGAAATAACATCTCAAAAAGTATACATTCTGAGCAAAAAACTTTGCACAGCTATGTAATTCTTACTTATGTGGGACTGGAAACGATTTTACTGTAAAACAGCTGTTAAAAAAAAAAAACGCAGATAGTTTATTTCTTTCATCATGCCCAAAAGGACAACAGCTATAACTAGAAAAATGTTGCTGACTTTGTGGCATTCTGCAAAGTCACAGAATGCTTCCAAAAAATGAGAGATTAAACAGACTCTTCAGCTTGAGAAAAAAGCTGTCAAATAAGTGCGAAAGTATGTAATAGGGTTCTACAAAATCAAGGATGGCACAGAAAAGTGAACATAAAGTAACTATTCACTGTTATACAAGGACTAGGGAATATAGTGATATTAAGAAGTTTCTAGAAGAAAAACAGATGCATGTTTCAACATAATGTGTAATTAAAACAATGGAACTTGTTACCATACAATGCTGCAAATGACAAATACAAAAATGTAAAAATAAGCTGGATAAATTCAGATCCACGGCCAAGACTAGAAAAAGAAAATTATCTTTTTTTAATTAACTTATCCTCAAGCGCTGCCTGATCATCCTATTGGATAATTAGATCCTTCAATTCTGTTTTCTACCAGAATATTTTAAGCACCATGCTTGCTTTCAAACCTGTCACACTTTTATATCAAATTTTAAACTGTAAAGCAAATCCATGATTCTGCTTTCTGCACACCTAGGCCCGTACCTGAGTTGCGCATGAAACACAGCTAGGCCTCTAAATCATTAGTCCTGTTTCATCCAAATGTATAATTACCTAGTTATCTTTTTAATTTCCACAATGACAAGCGAACAACTACGTTCAGGCAAAAGCTTAACTCAACTGAATAAGGCTGTAGTGAGAAAATTAAACTGTTGTTACAGTACTGAGTTAACTACTTTGGAAATGATTTATTATTGGTTTTTAATGTAAATTGTTCACTTTGCTTTAAGCCAGGAGAAATAGCTCATGTAAGTGATTCAATGCAGTTCCATCACAGTGGATTAATATAAACCTTTCAAAGAATATCAGATTCTATCTAAGGACCTCATTGGTTTTTCATCCTACCAATCTTAGTTATGGTATTATATTTAAGCACAAGAGTTCACTTCTGCAAAGGTAGAAAAAGAAAAGCAGTTTGCTACTTTTCTCAGATCATGAAATTTTACTGCAAGAGAAAAAGATCAATGAGGAGATCAAATTAGTAAATCAGTAATAGGAAGGAAATGGTAGGAATCCACCCAATCTACCTGGATGGCTGCCAGGTTCTTCTGTTCCTGTGATGGAGCCTCGTGGACAAAACGCAGCCAATTAGAATGGCGTGGATTGCTTGCATCCAGGATATAAAGGACCTCACCTTTACTCCCACGAACCTGAAACATTAACAACAACAACAAAAAAAAAAATCAGGCAAAACTAAAATTATTTACCAAACACACACAAACATGTAACACACTAAGGCATGCTTGTGCTCAGCATTCAGCGGGTACTCACAGCTGTGGTGCACATTCACCTTTTTCTACAGGTATATTTATGCACCTTCAGAATAGGGAGGCAACTCAAATCCAGCAACTGCTGTCAGTTTCTTTTGCTAAGCTCACCCTCTCTTTCCTTGTTTACTAAAGGAAAGGCTAAGTATTACAATTGACTCTCGGGTCTCCCTAATCTGGCAGTAGGGTCACTGGTGCTCATGTTCCTTCCTCTCTCTTTGTTCCTTCAAGTCCTACTTTTCTTTATGATCTTGCCAGAAACCGATACATCCTGAGAGGTCCTTTCCTATTCCAACCCTATCATCCCTTTTCCAGTTTTCCTTTCCAAGTTCTCCTCCTTCATGTGTTCTGATGCCAGCATTTTACTCCTACAGTCTACCTAATTCCAGCTTACACTGAAAAAATGAAAATAGTAGAAACAGAAACTTAATCTTAATAAAGCCATTCTTCCCCCTCAAAACACAGACATACTGCTGAAAAAATACAGCTGCCACTGCCACATAAAAAAAAAAAAAAAAAAAAAGGCTTGGTTTGTTTTAAATAATAGATCATTTGAATCTTTACTGATATGAAAGACAGAGCGCCATGCAAAAAGGTCATACAGCCATACTATTATTCCATGTGATTTATTTATATAAGGAACATATTTTCTGCTCATCTGTCAACAAGAAGTATTCAGAGCAGGTATTTCCTAAGAGCTAGGGCTTTATGCTGTGTAACATCAAAATTAGATTGTCTTCATGGCTTTGTATTTAAATTGCTCACATTCTTGCTTTAGTTGTTTCTAATAGATGCAATATCATATTTCTTCAGTATGACTGCTTAAATTACCTAAACATTCAGGATATCATTAGAAAGAAAAAACTGTATTCCATTACCATAATAACTGGTGACAGCATGCTGTTCTCAGATGAAAACAAACAAAAAAAACCCTACTGTAGTTCTGCAAACAAATAACAGTCTTCAAAATTTATTCCTGTTCTTCCAAAGGAAGATTTTGTATATTAAGGAGGACACATCATGAAAAAGTGTCAACATTTGAGACTTTAGAAGTTGTTTTACTTTCAAACACACAGACTAACCACAGTAAAAATTGTCAAACCTACTAAATGCACCTGGAAATAGTATTATCTAACACTGAGCACTGCAATGGGTTTCCCAGAGAGGATGTGTAGTCTCCATCCTCAAAGATGTAGATACTCAATAGCTGTCCTGGGCAGCTGGCTCTAAGTGGCCCTACTTGAGCAGGGGAGCTGGACCAGATGACCTCCAGAGGTCCCTTCCAACCTCAGCTGTTCTGTGATTCTGTGACTGTCACCTTGGGAAGTAATGCCTGCTTGTTATTGGAACTGCTGTTTTCATTAGGAACATGGGCAGAATGACTGCAATCCAACCATAACAGCAAGCTCCAAATTTACAAAAAAATACAGGCTAACGGTGTGCTCACCTCCTGAAAAGCCACCTGCCAAGCAGAAGCGCTGCTTTGTTTATACTGCAATAATCATACAGTTCTAAATAGGTAATCCACAGAGCAGAACCTCACCTTGGGTGAAAACAGTTAACACTGCAGATTAGCATCTTCGAGTAACTAAAGTCAAGCTAATGGCTTTGTGATTTAGCTACCAAAGCATGGGTTGTAGAAGCCCACCATGTAGGTCCTATAAAGGTTTCCATCACATCTTGACTTGAGTTGGAAAGAGAAGCCATCAAGACTCTATTATAAAACCCGTACATTACACTGTCTGCCTTTTCATCTATTCTTCTTCTTCATTTGCTTGATCCTTAAATTGGATAAGAATAATTTATATTCACTTCAATGATACACGATCATCTCAGTTGTGCTTTCTCAGTCTCTGCCAATCCATAAAGGGATATCAAACACAAAGCAAAGACTTAACACATAAGGAAACTATTGATAAAAGAATACAATAAATCCCTTAAAGACATGCTGTATTTTCTATTGCTTTCTTCACCTCGTAAAGAAATAATGCTGCATCAAATACACAGATGTGAGGAAGAAAAGTCAAGAAACGGTCAAAACACTGTACTTAACAGGGGCTAGACTGGTGACATTTACCACTCCTTTCCTCACTGGTGTGTGGATAGGCAAGTTTCCTAAATGAACAACCGATCTTTGAGCTCCATGGCAGTGAATCCCAAACTTAATCAATATTTAAAACAAACAAACAAAAAGACCAGCTCTTGATTTGCAAATATATTTCTCAAACTCAAAGCCAGTAAAAACTAATCATGGTGGTTAAATGAAATAAACACCTAGAGTCTACATTTTCAGTTTAAAATAAGTACACCTAAATATCATCTGTATTGAATTATTAATGAATCAAAATGAAGTTTGGAATATGTCCCAAAGGGTGCTCCCTCCAATAACAGCCCACTAATGTCCTCCGTCATCCTTCTGCTTTGTGGCATGACCACCAAACAACAAAATCAGCTTAATTAGAAGATATATCAATAAACGGAAGCTAAAATGCTTACACCTTGGGCTGCCTGTAACGCTGTTCTGGTATCCAAGAAGACAGGATCAGAGACGGCTGTCCCTAAGACAGATGTCGCACCATAGGCCCACACAATTCTGCTAGCCACAGCAACAAGTAATTTTCCCTCCTGCACTCCTCTATCAGCAACACTGGAAAGTGCAAGAAATGTACTGTGTAGCTTCAGTATCTCCCCCCAGCCCTGGCAATTGCACCAGCTGTAGCAGCAGGGGAAGAAAATGGGATAAGTGTCAACCTGCTTATGTGCTCCTCAAGAAACTTAAAGATACTGCAATTTACCTCTCTACACCACAGAACTAAGACTCAGCACATACATTTCTGGAGCACAAAAAAAAAAACCCACCTCCCCATATTGAATGAAGTTCCTTGTCTTTCTTTATCCCCGAGAACCCTCTTTTACAAATTTTCCCACACATATCTTCACCACTTACTCCATATAAGACCTGGAGAACTAAATATGATTCATTCTGCAACAAAGTTTCCAGTCCACTCCCAGAGGACTCCTTTCCAATTACTCAAACACCCCAAGAATCTTCAGGACAACCTGCCTACCACAACTACTGCTTGCAGGAAATTGTTCGAAAACTGAGGATGTCTTTCAGGGAGAGGAAATGAAAAATACTTTTGTATATCACAAATTAAAGTAGAAAATTATTTAAGGAAGACTTTCTTAATGTATCTGCAAGAAAATTACTGCATTTCCCCCACACATCTGAACTACTACAGTCTTTTATAGTTGTAAGGTACTTAAAATAGAGGCAAAAGATTTTTACATGACTGAGGTTCCCTGATAATTATATGAAGTATCAGTCTCACAATGCTAGTGAATCTATTTGTATTTAAAAATTATGACATTTGATCCTGTCACTTGTTTACACAAATAATTCCATGTTTGAATATTATTTTCCCAGTTTCTATACAGTTGCTATTAGCTGGACTAAGCAAAATCATCCAGTGAGCTTGAGGTGTGCTCCTTAAGATCCTTAAGCTACAGTGATTAATTCAGAAAGGATTTTAAAAAGCATTTTAACAGGACCTGAACTCAAGTACGAAAGTATTTCTAATTCATTTGCTAAGGCCAAACTAAAAATGCTCTTAAGTTATGAGACTGTATTAAGTACTAAAGGCTTCAGTTATCTTCATATTTTGACAGAGAACTAGAAGGATTGTATCATATGCCTATGGTCAACACGGAGAATCAACGAAAGAGCTAGAAACAGACCTCAAAAGCCTAGCCACCAGTAGATGATGTCATACTATAATGTTTTGTTTAAAATCAGGAAGCGGGACCTTATCCCTATTTCCTCCAAATAAAGCGGTAAATCCACAAAAGTTGAGTCCACCGCTTGTAGTTCAATAGACCATCTTGGTCTAGGACCCATTTACTGCTGAGGCCCTTTTGACAACCGAGACCAAGATGTTCTTGTAGTTTCTGTAAGCAGTGGAGATAATTTGGAGTTTCCATTACCAGTGAGTGATGTCACCAGACATGCAATCACCTTTGATTTCCCAGGCTAAATAATTAAGTAGCAATTTGTTTCATATTTAAGTATAGGCAGACTTTGGCTAGAACAAAGCTGATTCAAATTCATGCCTGATAACCCACAGCAAGATATCTCTCCATTTTACTACATCCTCTTCAATACTTGTTTCCTCACTACAATCGAACACCTAAAATGGATACACATATCCAAAGCATGCAGAAGACACGAGAGCACCTCAGATTGAGGTGCCTAGGAATTATCTTCTTGGGAATCAACACAACAGGTGTCACTCAACTAATTCAGTCAAATATCTTCACAGTAAGATGAAATATCTGACATTCACTGTTACCACACAGGAGGTTTTACCTCAAGATCAGGACATCGTTGAATTACGCCACATTAACAAACACGATGTCACTATATATTCAGAAAAAAAAAATGCGCCCCTAGTTATTGTATAAGCTACCACATGAAACTGTACACGGGCCTGAATAATGTCCAAGCTGCTAGCAATGGCCATCAACAACATGCACTACTCCATCTGCTAGCCTTTTATGCTGCAACGAAATTATCTCCAGATTTTCAAAAGACATCCAGAGTTGTCATGTATGCTACTTCAAAACACGCATGAGTGCAATTGCAAACGCTCTACCATGCACACCTGGCAAGAGAAGCAGCAAAAAAACTTCACTGAAAATAAGCAGATGGTTATCTTTGCTGAAGGCAGTAAACACACTGCCTGCTTTCTGGAAACCATTTTCTAAACATTTATAAATCTAAAAATCTATGGTCACTTGTTTGACTCGCGTAACAAAATGTACTGTTTTCTGCATCGCATTTTTTTGATTAGCTGAAAACATGATTTTTATTGTTAATAGTATAA